CTGAGGGTACACACACACCTGCTGCTGCTGCTGCTGCTGCTGCGGCTGCACAGCAGCACTGCTGCAGTCGCTCAATCTACTGAGGCAACTTGTGGGGCCCCTGCAGCTGAGGGGCCCCGGGCAGCAAAACCCACAAGGGTTTGCTGGTAGACACAAAGAGAGAGACGTTTCTCTCCTTGCTGCTGCTGCTGCTGCAGCTGCTGTTGCTGCTGCTGCTGCTGCAGTTGTTGGTGTTCCTCTCTCTGCAGCATGCGCCGGGCCCCACACAGCAGCAGCAGCAGCACCCTTCGGGCTAGGAGAGCAGCAAGACTGCTGCTGCAGCAGCAGCAGAGGATTATCAGGGGGGCCCCCCAGGGGCCCCCCAAATGAACCCTTTAGGGGTCCTCCGCATCGGCATAGATTTGGGGGGCCCCCCAGGGGCCCCCCAAATGAGCCCTTTAGGGGGCCCCCAAGTGAACCCTTTACGGGCACTACAAATGAACCCTCTGGGGGCCCCCCAAACGAACCCTTTTGGGGGCCCCCATATAAACCTCTGGGGGGCCCCCCAAATGAACCCTCTGGGGGCCCCCCAAGTGAACCCTTTTGGGGGCCCCCAAGTGAACCCTTTAGGGGGCCCCCAGGTGAACCCTTTAGGGGGCCCCCAAATGAACCCTCTGGGGGCCCCCCAAATGAACCCTCTAGGGGGCCCCCAAGTGAACCCTTTAGGGGCCCCCCAAATGAACCCTCTAGGGGCCCCCCAAATGAACCCTCTAGGGGGCCCCCTAGGGGCCCCCAATGGGTGCATAGGGGAGGCAGGGCCCCTGAAGGTAACAAGACATAGGGGGCCTCAGAGAGCTCGCAGCCACCAGCTATTATACTCTCTTCAAGCTGCTGCTGCTGCTGTTGCTGCTGCTGCTGGTGCATGGGGCTGCACGCTGTAGTAGGAGAGCAGTGGTTGTTGCGAACTCCTGCTGCTGCAGCAGCAGCAGCAGAAGCACAAGCTGCTGCTGTAGGCGTTGCTGCAACGGCTGCTTGGGTGATGGCGTTGCTGCTGCTGCTGCAGTTGTTGTTGCTGCTGCTGCAGTTGTTGTTGCTGCTGCTGCTGCCTACAGCAGCAATATCACCCGAAGAAAAATTCTTTCTGGGGACAGAGACAGCAGGGATTCGGCGCGATGCTGCTGCTGCTGTTGCTGCTGCTGTTGCTGCAGCTTTTGCTGCTGCTGTTGCTGCTACTGCTGCTTCTGCTGCTGCTGCTGCTGCTTCTGCCTCAGAAGGCCCCTCTAAACCCTTTTCTACTCGCAGACCCCTCGAAAATATCTCGTCAGCCTTCTTATACAGAGCATCCAGCCATCTGTACACAAACCCTAAACCCTAAACCCTAAACCCTAAACCCCAAACACTAAACCCTAAACCCTAAACCCTAATCCGTAAACCCCAAACACCAAACCCCAAACACTAAACCCTAAACCCCAAACCCTGAAACCTAAACGGTAAACCCTAAACCCTAAACCCTTAACCCCAAACCCTAAACCCTAAACCCTAATGCGTAAACCCTTGCCTGACGAATTGTTTGGGCGTAGCCATATGTTCAAGCAGCCACGGATGCAGAAGAAGCTCTTTAGCAGATTTTCGTTTAATTGGGGAGACGCGTAGACACTTGAATAGGAAGTCTCTAAAGTCGGGTGTATATACACCTCGGAGCTGCTGCTGCAGCGCAGCAGCAACAGCAGCATCAGCAATATCACAAGGTACCCCTTGTCTAAAGGGATGTGTAAGAGTTGCAAGCTCCAAGAGAGCTACACCTAGACTCCAGATGTCACCTTTAAACGACATCTCTTCTGCTGCTGCTGCTGCTGCTGCTGCTGCTGTTGCTGCTGCTGCTGTTGCTGCTGCTGCAGGAGACGATCCCGGACCCTCCGATGGAGACGTCGCCCCTGAACCGCTAAACAAACGCTCAGGGCTCCTGCAGCAAAGGCAGCAGCAGCAACAGAGGCAGCAGCACCAACAAATGCAGCAGCAGCAGCAACAAATGCACTAGCGGCAGTAGCAAATGCAGCAGCAGCAGAGGCAAATGCAGCAGCAGAAGCAGCAAATGCAGCTGCACTACCCGCAAATATAGCAGCAAGAAATAGAGGCACCTAGCGCCTACAGTAGCTGCAACAGGACCCTAAACCCTATACCCTAAACCCTAAACCCTAAACCCTAAACCCTAAACCCTAAACCCTAATTACATGTAGAGTTCTGTGCCGACGAAAGTGAGTGGGTCTTCGGTTTCCCCCGACAGCCAACGACTGACCCCCAAATCTGCTAGCTTTACATATCCTGAACAGCAGCAGCAGCAGCAGCAGCAGCAGCATCCGCATGAACAGCAGCAGCAGCATCCGCATGAACAGCAGCAGCAGCATCCGCATGAACAGCAGCAGCAGCATGAGCAACAGCAGCAGCATGAGCATCATCATCAGCAGCAGCAGCAGCATCTTCAGCATCAGCAGCAGCAGGAGCATGAACAACAACAACAACAACAACAGCAGCAGCAGCAGCAGCAGCAGCAGCAGAGTTAGCTGACCTCTGCCGCTGATGAGAATATTTTGGGGTTTGATGTCGCGGTGTACGACCCGCTGCGCATGCAAAAAAGAAAGCCCATCCAATGCCTGCAGCACATAAACAACACCTCAACAGCTAGCTAGTTAGCTAGCTAGCTATCTAGCTAGCTACCTATGTAGATAACTTGTTTGCTAGCTAGCTACTCAGCTAGTTAGCTACCGAGCAGTAGTAGAGAGAGGCAGCTAGCTAGCTAGCTAGCCAACTAGCTAGCCACCTAGCCGCAGCCAGTAAGCGGGTGCAGGCAGCGGAGCTTCTGGGTCTTGAGCTAGCTGCAGCTAGTAGCTAGCTAGCTAATACGTTATCTAGCTAAGCATTTAGCTAGCTAGCTAGCTAGCTAGCTGGCTACCTAACTAAGTGGCTAGCTGGCTAGCTAGTTAGCTAGCTAGCTAGCTGGGCAAGAGCAAACCTGAAAGGCAATGAGTTTGAGGAATTGCTCAGGGACGCCTGCAGCTCTGGGCCTTCGCTTCCTAGAAGATGTAGAGCCTTGCTGCTGCTGCTGCTGCTGCTGCTGCTGCTGCTTTTGCTGCTGCATTTCCTGCTGCTGCTGCGCTGGGGGCGTTTTGTCTCGCTTGGTGCTGCTGCGCCTCCAGTGGTGCCAGCGAGCAGCACCGGATTGTTGCTGCTGCAGCAATGGAGCCTGCTGCTGCTGCTGCTTCTGCTGCTGCATTTGCTGCTGCATTTGCTGCTTCATTTGCTTCTGCCGTCTGTGCTTGTCTTTATTGTGCGAGTCTGCTGCTGCTTCCTCCTTTGCTGCTGCTGCTGCAGCAACAGCAGCCTCAGGCCCCGAGCTGCCACCCCCAGCATCAGCAGCATCAGCAGCATCAGCAGGAGCAGCAGCAGCAGCAGCAACAAGCTTTGCTGCTCGCAGCAAATCGCCTAGAGACCCCCTCTCCATAAACTCAAATACTAAATGTACACAGCCGCCTCTCCTTGATAGCCACCTATAGGCCCCTAGGAAGGGGACAATAAAAGTAGGCAGCGGTGCTGCTGCTGCTGCTGCTGCTGCTGCTGCTGCTGCTGCGGGTTCGGCATCGGATGATGCTGCCGCAGACGCTGGGGAAGGCGCTCCGTCTGAGTCTGCTGCTGCTGCTGCTGTTGTTGCTGCTGTTGTTGCTGCTGCTGCTGGGGACAGAGATAAGGCTCCATACGCTTCTCGGGCTGCTGCTGCTGCAGGCTGCTGCAGTTGTCGCCGTCCTTTGCTGCTTGCTGCTGCTGGCGCTGCTGCTGCTGCTGCGGCTGCTGCTGCTGCTGCTTGCGCTGGCCCCACCCAGTGAGCAGACAGAGACATGGCCTAGGCACCACAAACAGAAGCAAACCTAAACCCTAAACCCTAAACCCTAAACCCTTGATGGGCCTGCAACCCAAGGCTCGCTTATTGAGGTTTAGGGTCTAGGGTTTAGCCTGAGGGTTTTGGAGTTTAAAAGGAGGGTTTAGGGTTTTTTTAGGGTTTAGGGTTTAGGGTTTAGGGTTTACCGTAACCTCCGCAGCGAGCTGATAGCGGTTTGTCTTTGTTGCTTCATCGAGGTGCGTGTACACCCCAAAGCACCCCACATGTATCTCCTGCAGCAGCAACAGCAGCAGCAAACAAATCCCTGTTGCTGCTGCTGTCTCTCTGTCTTTCTTTCTTTCTCTTTCTTCTCTATGTCTCTCTTCCCTCTCCTCATAGGTGCAGCTAGCTAGCTAGCTGTCTAGCTAGCTAGCTAGCTACTCAAGTTCCTGAACTACCTCGTAGCTGGCTAAGTAGCTGTCTAGCTAGCTACACAGCTAGCTAGCCGCACTAAGACTAAGTATCAGGCCAGGCGGGTGGCTAGCTAGCTAGCTAGCTAGCTACTGACCTTAATAGCAACAACAAGGCGAGAAGGAATATGAAGAGCAGCAAAGACAAGAGCACTCCTGCCTCGTCCAACTAATTCTGCTTCCTCCCACCTAAAGTCTTCATGAGAAAGGCCTGGTGCTGCTGCTGCTGCTGTTGCTGCTGGTTCTGCTGCTGTTGCTGTTGCTGCTGCTGCTGCTGCTGCTGCACCTGCAGCAGAGTCACGAGCTGAAGACTCGTCTTCATCGCTATAATAAACATCTTCCTGCTGCCGCTTCTGCTTCTGCTTCTGCTTCTGCTGCTGCTGCCTGCGCTGGAAGGGCACCAACTGCTGCTGCTGCTGCTGCTGCTGCTGCTGCTGCGAGCTGCGTCTCCTGGGGTCTCTAAGGGGCCTCAAAGGGGGGCCCCCCCCATCTATTCGCAGCAAACCCTCTACTCCAAGACCGAGGCGGTAGGCAGACAGTTTAAACTGCTGATGAGAAGATCTTTTGCTGCTGCTGCTGCTGCTGCTGCTGTTGCTGCTGCTGTTTCCGATCATAAGAGAATCAGGGCTAGCAGCAGCAGACAGCAGCTGCTGCAAACCCTCAGGAGGATACAAACTACGATGCCGAGCCTTTTGCTGCTGCTGCTTCTGCTTCTGCTGCTCTGTGTGCTGCCTCTGCGGCAGCAGATCGTGCAGCTGCTGCTGCGTCGCTACTGCTGCTGCTCTTGCTGCTGCTGCGGCTGCTGCATCACCACTATACGCACGAGTGCTGCTGTCTATGAAACGCAGTTCCGCCCGTTCCTGCTGCGGCAGCTGCAGCTGCAGCTGCTGCTGCTGCAGTTGCTGCTGCTGCTGAAGCTGCTGCTGCTGATGCTGATGATACCCTGTAGGGGCCCCCTCGCCAGCTGCACAGCTGGCAGCAAAGGCAGACTCCTCCGTGCTGCTGCGGAGTTCTTCGCTGCTGCTGCTGTTGCTGCTGCTGGGGCATCGCAGGCTTAGAAGATTCAAGCGGCGCATTTTGCTGCTGCTGCTGCTGCTCCTTCTGTTGCTGTTTCTGCTGCTTCTTTCGCTGCCCCTGGTAGTGCTGCTGTGTCTGCATAGGGCAGAAGCAGCACCTGGTGCTGCAGCCTCTGCAGCTGCTGCTGCCTTTGTTATAAGCGCTGCTGCTCCTGCTGCTGCTGCTGCTGCTGACGCTAAGGTTCGATTAGCTTCACAGTTTTTGTCTGTTTGTGTCCTGCGTCTGTTCTCGTTATTTTTTATTTGTTTTAATCTTCTTCTCTGTTGTTTGCTGCAGAGGCTCTCCTTTGCTGCTTTTTATTCGCCGTCGGTGTCTTGCTGCTGCTGCTGCTGCTGCTGCTATTACTTCTGTGAGGTTGCTGCTGCTGCTGCTGCCTTGGTACTGTTGTTACTGCTGTGAGGTTGCTGCTTCTGTGTGGTTGTTGTTGCTGCTGCTGCTGCTGTTGCTGTTGCAGCTGTTGTCGCTGCTGCTGTCGGCGCTGCTGCTGCAGCACCTGTTGTTGCTGCTGCAGCTGTTGCTGTTGCTACAAAGAGATTAACAACTTAAGGGGCCCCCATTTGCCTGAGGGGCCCCAGAGAAGGAGAGGGCCCCTGAAAGGGGGGCCGCTGGGGGGTGGGCGTCGGCAGCGGTCTGGGGGCCCCGAGGGTTTAGGGTTTAGGGTTTAGGGTTTAGGGTTTACGAGAGGATCAGCGCATATAAATTGGTTAAAACTAAATACTCGTAGCCGTTTTCCGCTCGAAAGACACCCCTGAACCTCCTGTCTTGGCAGCAGGAACAAGACCGCTGCTGCTGCTGCTGCTGCTGCTGCAGCAGTAGCAGCAAGACCGCTGCGCGGTGTACGTACAGCTGCTGCTGCCGCCGCAGGGAAGTAGCTGAAGCTTAATCACTCTTTTTGCTTATTTAAGCCCCAATTTTGAGTTTATTGTTTAAAATGAAGTAAATTAAATTAATTTAAGTGCAAATAAACAGATAAATAACAACGCCAGACAAATCAGGGGGGCCCCCAGCAGCAGAGGCGCGGGGGGGGCCCCCCATCGGAGTATCTCTTGGCTGCTCTCACTGCTCTCTAAACTATATTACTTTATAAAGGAGTTATATTCTTTATTCTGCTGCTTCTACTGCTGCTACCTTTTCTGCTGCTGCTACTACTTGTACTACTGCCGCTCCTGCTGCTCCTGCCTCTGCTGCTGCTGCTGCTGCTGCGCTGCAGATGCAGCAGGAAGCAAACCCAGGGGCCCCAGGGCCTTCCCATTAAGCGTAAGGGGCCTTTACCAGCAGGTTCAGGATGGCTGCTGCAGCTACCCCTGAAGCAGCAGCAGCTGCTGCTGCAGCAGCGAGAGCGCTGCTCCGCATGTCTGCTGCGGGGGCCCCGTTGGGGCCCCTCTACAAAAGCATTCGGGGCTCCCTCTCACCCCTCTCACCAGCAGCAAGTAGCTTCCCAGCATTGCTGCTGCAGCAGCGGTTGGGGTACCTGTGCTTCAGCAGCAGCAGCCACTGCAACAGCAGCAGCAGCAACTTCAGCAGCAGCGGCAACGGCCGCAGCAGCAGCAAGATTAGCAGAAAAAGCAGTAGCAGCAAGTGCACCACCTATTTTAATTCGTTTTTATCTTCTCCTCCTCGATGTCCTCAAGTTAAGGGGGCCCCTAGGGGGGCCCCCTTCATTGTAGGGGCTGTTGCAATCTGTTCAAGGGGGGCCCCCGGGGGCCCCCCTTCATCAATATTGCAAACTGGGGGCCCCCAATGTGCACCTTTGCTGCGATTGGTGGGGCCCCCTATGTCGTCTTTATCTTTTTCTTCTTTGGGTGTACCTGATAGAAGTTATAATAATAATAATAATAATAATAAACCTTTGCATGCATCTGGGGGCCCCCATCCTCATGGGGCCCCCCATTCAAACGGGGACCCCCGTCCTATTGGGGGCCCCCTTCCTTCTAGTGGGGGCCCTGCTCCCCCTGGGGGCCCCCCTGGGGGTTCCCCTGGGGGCCCCCCTGGGGGCCCCCTTGGGGGCCCCTCAAGTGTTGAGGGGGGCCCCGCATCCCCATCAGGGGGCCGCCCCCCTCT